TTTAGCACACTCATTTGGGCCACCACCCTCCCCGATCCCAAAGGAGGATAAAGTGACGGTGTCCCCCTGTTCCAGGTGGGTGCCCAAACCCCTGCAACTCTCTGGAGAGACTTTAAAAACTCGCTGGGGTGACGGGGGGATGAGGCCGAGCTGGGGACCGCTCGGAGGGGCAGCGATGCCCACTGCCACGGAGAGAAGAGCTGAGGTTGTGGGATCAGAGCCCTCCCCTGGTGCTGGGGGCCACGATCGGGGATGGGGCAGCCCTGGGGCTCCCCACCACAGCAGCGTACCCACGCTGGGGACCCCTGTGAGCATCAGGGGTCACCGTACCCGAGATGAGCAGCGAGGTGCGGCCAGTTGGTGAATCACATCACGCCGCTGATGCCGGACACTGCACGGCCCAAGGGCTGCCGGGGGGGGCTGAGCGCGAGAAGAGCAGAGGGCCTGACCTAGGACGGTGGGGAAGATCCTCTGGCACCGCAAAAATCGAGGGAATTTGGGATCCCCCATCCATCGGCGCCCAAAGGCGGCAGCGCCGGAGCAGCCCGTCCATGCTGCCATCTAACGGCAGGACGCCCGCGAGGGCCCGTCCCACGGCATCGGGGAATTTTCCATCACAAACCCAGGGAGATGGTGGGACCGATGCAACCTTTCCATTGTTGCCGCCCTGGGAAACAAAAGGATCTTATTTTTAAATCTTGTCGCCCTTCCAGCAGGTGGGGGGACCCGAGGAAGCAAAGGCTTCCCCAAGGCACAGGATGAAGACACAGACACGGGGCAGGGGGCCAGGGCCGGAGCTGCCGGACGCTGCCCAGCTCCAGGGAACCACACTGGGGCGGCCCTGAGGATACCCCGGACTGAACGACGAGGTGACCCGCAGGGACAACACAGCCCAGTCCTGGGGGCTGATGGCGAGAGCAGGGGTAGAGCCCGGATGCTGGGGCAGATAGGGATGTGTCACCCCCACGGTGCCACCTCTCCCTGCCCTGAGCCAGGGCCAGACCCGCTCTGTGAGGGCATTCACTCCGGTTTCCACTCTGCATCTGATCAGTGAAATGCCTTTTTCAGGCAGAATGTCCTCACCGGGCTTTACATAGAGCGGCTCGGAGGAGCATTTTCCCCGCGCGCAGGAGCTGTGGTACGTGCCAGGCAGGAGCTCTGCCTGCCCCAGCTATCCTGCCAGAGCCAGCATTATACCCCAAAAGACAGCTCTGCACAGCCCAGCAAGCCCAGCAGGAGGAAGGACAATGTGCTTGCTCGGGAGCCTGCTTGGCCCAGGGATTTGGGAGAAGCAGGTTTTGCTGCTCTCCAGCTCTCCTTTGGCAAGAGGGTGTAGAAGGTGGCAGCGGCACACACAGCCCGGCTGCACTCGCTGCCTGCCAGCTCCGCTCCCCTGGCACTTCAGGATCAGCTGCCTGCTGCTGCCCAGCCCCACTTCCTTGTGTTTCAGGGCAGGCTGGGGAGGCAGCAGGTTTCAGACACCCAGCCACAGCTCCCTGCTCCCATCAAACCAGCCTCACCTGCCCGCAGAGGCTCCCAGCCCTCATGGAGGGGTGACAGCCCCACACAGCAGCAGTTCCAAGCTAACAGCTCCTTCTCTACTCCTGTTTCAGCAGAGGGGCAGCAAGAGGACAATGCAGGAGCTGGGAGCGGACACTGAGCCCAGGCCAGAGGCTCAGAGAGGGAGCAGAGCTCGCTCACCAGCTAAAGCCCAACTGGGGACCAGGAGGGACCAGAAACCACCAACAGCCCCTCCGAGCACACCCAACCCCAAGCAAGGCTGTAGAGAGCAGCAGCTTCCCAATAACCGTGTCCCCTCTGCACCCACCTCCACCCCACGCTCACACAGCCCCAGGGTGCTGCCTGCAGCTTGCACGGGTCACCACCCCCCCGGCTGCGCAGTCCTCTGCTGCGGGGGTGCTGGTGCCAGGGCAGAAGAGCCCAGTCTCGGCACAGCCCCACTGGGCAGGGGGGTGGCCAGGGAAGGACTGGCTGGGGCAAGCAGGAGCTGGTAAGCCCTCCTGCCTGGCCCTTCCAGCGGCACAAAAAGCTGAGCCTCTGCAGAAGACAGCACCAGGGTCAGGGTAGCTCCAGCCTCTGCTCTGAACCTGGAGTGGACTCAACTGGGATAAACATGATGCTCCCACCCAGCCCAGGCACTGCCATCCTCCCTCCCACCCAATTCTCCAGCCAGGCTCAGACCCACTCCAAAACTTCCTGCCTCAAGCCAACTCCACTGCCTTGGAAGCAAGGCCAAGGGAAGCAGTGGCATGGCCAGCACCCCCCCCGGCACGAACTGCAGGGGCCAATTCCTCTCAACTTCCCTCCCTGGGAGCCCCAGGCTGCCGTCCCATCCCTCCTCACCCCGGGCAGCTCTGCCAGGGGGCTGATGGGCAAAGAGCCACTCCCAGCAGCGGGGGCTGCTTGGGCTTTTGTCAAGTTGCCCCAAATGGGACTCAGACAAACCCTTAAGGCTGAGGGAGGCCAGAGGAGGCTGCATCTCGAAGCCCAAGAACCTGAAATCAGGAGTGGGCTCAAGCCAAACACCCACCGTGTTCCCAAGCAGCCCAACACAGGGGGAAGAGGCCAAGAATGGGAGAAGGCGCGCTGAGGGAAGGAGCCTGGGCTGGAGCGGGGGCAGGAGGCAGCTCTGTGCCCCCCTGGGCTGGGCTACACCCCACCGGCACACAAACCACGCGCAGGCCCAGCGGGCAGCAGTCTTTCTGATGAGCTTTAATGGCGACTGAGCAGAGGGGAGGCAGCAGTGTTCCCACGTCAGGCACCAGAGCTCCCTCTGTGCCACCCCGGAGCTGCTCCCCACGAAGCTCCTGGGGCAGAGGAAGCCCACTGCCAGGACACAGTTGTGCCAGGAAGCACCTGATGGTGCTCCAGGACCCACCCCCCTCCTCCCCCACAGGGTCT